GACATGATGGCATCACACAGTTGCCGCAGATTTGTCGGCTGCACATCAATGATGCGAATCTCCCGTTCCACCACATCCCAAAGATGCTCTATTGGATTGAGATCTGGTGACTGTGGAGGCCATTTGAGTACAGTGAACTCATTGTCATGTTCAAGAAACCAGTCTGAGATGATTCCAGCTTTATGACATGGCGCATTATCCTGCTGAAAGTAGCCATCAGAAGTTGGGTAAATTGTGGTCATAAAGGGATGGACATGGTCAGCAACAATACTCAGGTAGGCTGTGGAGTTGCAACGATGCTCAATTGGTACCAAGGGGCCCAAAGAGTGCCAAGAAAATATTCCCCACACCATGACACCACCACCACCAGCCTGAACCGTTGATACAAGGCAGGATGGATCCATGCTTTCATGTTGTAGATGCCAAATTCTGACCCTACCATCCGAATGTCGCTGCAGAAATCGAGACTCATCAGACCAGGCAACGTTTTTCCAATCTTCTATTGTCCAATTTCGATGAGCTTTTGCAAATTGTAGCCTCAGTTTCCTGTTCTTAGCTGAAAGGAGTGGCACCCGGTGTGGTCTTCTGCTGCTGTAGCCCATCTGCCTCAAAGTTCGACGTACTGTGCGTTCAGAGATGCTCTTCTGCCCACCTTGGTTGTAACGGGTGGTTATTTGAGTCACTGTTGCCCTTCTATCAGCTCGAACCAGTCTGGCCATTCTCCTCTGACCTCTGGCATCAACAAGGCATTTCCGCCCACAGAACTGCCGCTCACTGGATGTTTTTTCTTTTTTGGACCATTCTCTGTAAACCCTAGAGATGGTTGTGCGTGAAAATCCCAGTAGATCAGCAATTTCTGAAATACTCAGACCAGCCCTTTTGGCATCAACAATCATGCCATGTTCAAAGTCACTCAAATCACGTTTCTTCCCCATACTGATGCTCGGTTTGAACTGCAGGAGATTGTCTTGACCATGTCTACATGCCTAAATGCACTGAGTTGCCGCCATGTGATTGGCTGCTTAGAAATTAAGTGTTAACGAGCAGTTGGACAGGTGTACCTAATAAAGTGGCCGGTGAGTGTAATTATCAGTGTAAAAATGAGTCTGCCTTGTTCTTGTTTTCCAACAGGAGATGACTAGCTGGGTGCACGGCTGCGTGCAAAAGAATGGCTCTTCATGGTAAAAATATGATCATGTTTTATATCCTTCTACACCACCTTTATCTGTTATAAGTATGCTGAATGTTAATATATTTTTATTTTTCTGCCTAGTGTAAAAGGTAATGTAATTTGTGGTTATCTGATGGCATCCTGTGCTCTGGCTCTCCATTTAGTGTGCATGTTGTAGATCTGTCGATGGGAACTGAGCTTCTGCCACCATATAAGGTAAATATATTCAGTAAAGAATCCACCTGGTCCAGCTACTGATAATATTTTTTTCTCTTTAATGGTGTTTCTTTCCCTTCAGGTTCTCATTCTGAGTCTAAGTGATTTGTCTACTATTAGTCATCTGGTTGTTTCGGCCTCCAACATCAACGGCAAACAGGTACCTAAAAGTAAAGGCATTCTCATTCATACGTTGCATAACATCAGTAAAATAATTTCTCTAATAAAGCGATCGCATGTAGTCAGTCACACACTGGTCACTTTTCTTTTAAAGTTTGTCAACTCTCGGGAAAATCGCTACAGGAAGGGTCACATTTACAGTAAAAGTGGTTTGAATGAAGTTGGACTGTACATTAAGTGTAATATAACCAAAAATTTATGTTATGTCAATTCACAATAAGAATTCAATATGCATTCAATATGCATTCGAAGCAGGCAAGCCATGTGAACCACAGGAGTATTGGATGACGGAGCTGAATATTTCAAGCTTATTTTCACCAGAGCTTTGGCTGTGTTTATTATTATAAATTGCATGCTAATTATCATTTATCATTACTTTTTAATACCTAATAATGGGGATGAATATTTGTGTCTGAAATATGGCCTACTGCTTTGGAACAATTTGCTCCTTGACCCTGTTTTTGTTGCCACTTTTAAATATTTCACTTCTAATAACATCACCCTTTAAACGTAGTGCTCTATTGCTTCCTGTATGTTCTGTTAATACTGCCTACAGGTTCTGTAAGGACAGTAGTGTGTATGCATAGTCTTTATAGGTACTGTACACAACTCTGAAGGGGGATCCAGAGAATTGTTTTCTTCAAAAGATCTAGGACAGGGATTGAAGCTGATTAGGAGAGAAGAACTTCCATGATGAAAGATGTTTTTTGTCTTGCTTAATAAGTAATCCTGATTTATTATAATGTCAGGTCTATGGTTGATGTTTGTCTGTCTGTAGTTTACAGTGGAGTGCGAGTGGCAGAGACAAGAATCGCTGACTCAGTCAGTTGCGGTGCCACATGTCTTGTCCTTTGGTGAGTTTTTCATCATCAATTACAATGCCTAACTTTGTTAGCAAATGTGTTCCCTCTATAATTGCTGCTTTTCCAGGTTTCACCAGCAGCGATGTTACCGTGAATTCTTCTGGGCTTCTTCACACTATCCAGCTACAGCATTTTCACCAGGTACCCATCATGGTTTTCCTAGCTGTGCTTGTGTCAGGATCTGCGTTGTAACATCCCAACTTCATTGTGTATACTTGCATCTAGGTCTATCAAGCATTCAGAATCAATATTGTCAGCCAGTGTAAAGTACATAAAGGTAAGCTGTTCCTCTCAGAGGCAGACACGTGCACGTCTTGAGATGTAATGATGACCTGTCTGTTTGCAGATAGATTGCCTAGTGTTTACAGGATGATGGTGGCGTGGTTTAGAGAAGACTCTTTAACCACAGCTAGGTGAGTTGTCTTCTTCAAGTATTTTTCAGTCATTTTCTTTATCATGGCATTTTTTCCAGGAAAAATGAGAACTGGGGCTCCTGACTATCTTTGCTGCCTATGATTGTTCTAACGGAAGCATTTTGACACTAGAGAATCTTCATTAGAGTCAATATAGGTACAAAGTCAGGGAAGGCAATTAGAATTCCACAACAGTGTTTTTCTGAAATTTCAATAGCCAGCCAATATATTCCAAATGACTCACTTCCCATAGTAATGTTTCTTTCAAAGTTGTGTATCTTTCCAAGTGTAGAGTAGACTGAGTCATTGTGGCATTTTTTTTCTCTCTGAAGAAAATTGAAGTTACCAAATTGAACAAAAGTTCCATGCTGTCCAGTTGTGTAAAGGTTTATTTGCAGAAGTTTTACTCCTCTTATAACCAAATAATCCCAATGTTTTCCACTATTCCAATCTTTTCCACAGAGCAGTTTTAGGGTGGAATTAAAAAAGTAAAAATCACACAGACAAGATGAGACAAAAGCTCCAACCTAAAACTGTTCCTCAAGATTGTAGATAAAATTTTACACATTTTAAAGCACCATCAATTTGTGGGATCTGGCCCTTTTTGTTGTTCTTCAGCTGAGAAGCTATAAGGTGTTTATATGTTTTATTTCTTTAATTTGCCTCTGTTGTTGTTCTGCTAGTGTACCATCAGTGACCGAAATCTCAGGAATGTTGCATACAAGTGGTCCAGACAACAGATCTGATGTCCTCTTACAGCTCCACACTGCCCCCAACTGTCAGTATAAGGTACAACTCCTATGATGATGAATTCTGATTTTAGTTTTACCATCATTAAACATATGTCAAACCTTTAATTTACTCTCTGGTCCAGGTATCAATAAGAACTTCACTACCCAAGGTGCTTGGACAGGTATAAAAACTTTCATATGTTTATTTATTTTGTTTCTATTTTCCTATTTCTATATTTTGTTTGTATGTTTTATTTTTATTCTCGTAGATTTGAAATTTTTTTAATCATTGAAGCTAATTACGTAAACTTCAAACAGTCAAAACTGATGTGTAAAAGCGTTTATTATTGTTCATTAATACTGTTTCACACCTAAAAGGAGAAAGTACTGCTCTGAAAGGATTTGTTCTGATATGGCAGGTCCTAAGGTTCTGTGGTCCCACGGTGCCGGTGTACACAGCAGTAACTCTCCTCCTAGCCTGTGGGCAACAGCTGTCCGCCATTCTGAAGACAGGGAAATCTGTAGACATGACCCAGGCTGTTGGCATGGGGCTGCAGCCTCATAAACTTAACCTGGCTATTTATGTTGTGCACATATTACTCAGGTGAGCTTTGGCAGTCTATTGTTGAGCATGGGAAAGTTCAAATGTTGCCTTTCAGAAACACAATTTGAGTGGCAATTACCACTTTTTTTCCTGAGCTTTTTGTCACTTTACATAACCTTTTGACTTTGATATAAATTTGACTTTTTTTTTTCTTTTTCTGTTTGGTCCCTTTATGTTTTTCTGCTTTCCCTCAGCTGTAAATGGTTTCAAGAGGTCTGGTCCTTGCTTTGCTTTCCACCCATGGATACACTTTCCCCAACCTTCCCGGATGGGACATCTCAAGAAAAGGCGGGTTCATCTGAAGAATGGCCCCATCTTTTGTCCCCTCTGCTTTACATTTTTGGGGCAGCTTTGGCATACTGGGGCAGCATGCTGCTCCGGTTCCTTATAAGATTAATTTCATTGATATTTGCTCCACTGCACAGGTGAGTTTAGATTAATAAGAGACTGGGGATTTAAACAGAATTAATCCTATTTATGCTGGTAACTCACACTTTGCATCTACATTTTTCTTATCTGCAGACCATCTGTGTCTCGAGACTGTGGCACTCTGAGGCTGAGGACTCAGCTTTTCATCTGTCTCAGTTTGACTGTATTGGGTGGGACTTCATGTGGAGCTTTAGCAATCTTTGCCTCATCTCTATTCCATTTGTATAGGGTGAATCTTTTTTTTCTAATTATTAAATGGTTTTGCAGAATGTCATCAACACATAAATGGTTGTGATGGTTATGGAATGAGCAAAGTATGCTTGTTTGTTTTTCATAAATTACTGATTTAGATAAGTGTAAAAATATTAACCTTTAACGCCAGGTTTCATTGGGTGTTTAGGACTAAAATCAATTGTAGTAATTCTAGAGGTATCTCAATAGGTCTAGGGAAATCAAGTGATAAAAAGCCAAGAACAGCAGCTCAGGAGGCAAAAGAAACTTGTAGGAATTTAGAGATTGTGGATAATGTTCAAATAGGCCAGGGGGAATTGGCACTGAGAAGATAGAGTTAGTTGTAGGAGCAGGTTTTAGACAGGAGGAAGTGCTAATGTGTACTTCTGAAAAAAACTTAGTTGAAAAGAGCTATGGAATATGGGTGAAAGTAGTATTAGACTTTTTGCAATTTTCATGATGTTTTACGACCTTCAACTCTAATATTTTGTAAGGCTGGAAGTTCAGTTCATCACAAGTCTGGTGTAATTGACGACATAACCAAGTGTTAAGAAGCTTAGCTACAGTCATTGAAGATTAAATGAAGGCTGGTAAATTTGGGAGGGTCTAAGATAAAGATAATGGAAATTCAGTTTGTACAAGACTGGGGAAAAGATAACAAGGATACTTGTGAGAAGGAGATGTAGTTAGATTTGGAAGGAAAGTGTTTCATTGGACGAACCAGTTGAAACACAATTGAAAGGAGGTTCCCGCCTGATGACCTTAATGACATTGGTTTATTTAGGAACAAGTAGGGTCTTCTTTAGGTACTGATCCCATCTTAGAATTTGTATGTTCAACTTTTTTGTGTTTACTTTAAATTTGCATTTGTGTCTTACAGGTGCTCAGGTTGCAAATGACAGAAAGATCTTTAAGTCACATGCTGAATCTGGTAAGGTTGTTTGCTTAATAATCTTTTATTTATTACCATTAACAACATCTCACGGTGGTATTGTGATCATCAGTATAATTCATAATTAATGTATGTCAAACCTCTTCACTTCTGCCCAGGTGCCACAGAAGCACCAACAGTCTGAAAATGGCACAGTCAATGTTGAATCCTTTATGAAGTCTCAAGGATGTCGTGACACCCCTCTGCTGTCTGAAAACACACTGCAGGATGTGAAGGACGACTTGCAACTACATCTCAGCCTTTCAGCCCTCTTCATGCTACCTGTTATGCTCAGCATGCCATCACTTGTCTACTGGATTCATAACTTGAGGTGCAACTTTGAGACAAAATAGTAAATTGGTTTCCTGTCTGAGGAGTAACAAGACAATAAGGTCTTTCTTATATACAAGATTTGACACAACATAAGTGTGCCTTTTTTTTTTTTTTTTTTTTTTTTTACAAAATACTTGTAAAGTACACATTAACTTATAGATCTTACAAGGTGGGAAAAAACCTGGATTATACCACAGACATTTTAAACTATATTGACAGCAATCGTTCAGGGAAGAATTCTAATAGTTTAGTAATTCCAGTAAAAAATAATGTTAAAACAGAGAGAATGTAACAAATGCTTAACAAAACATTGTTTTGATCTATGAGGCATGAGTATTGATCGGATGTAAATGGATTGATCACTGTTTCATTGAGTGAGGGGACTTCTGAAGTCAAGTTATTTCGAAAACACAGAAAGCAAAGGAAACTGAAAGGGGACTTTTTGGTTATGGTCGCCATTAACCAGTCTTTTCGCTCCCATAAATTCATCTGCCATTGAAACAAGCCAACCAGCTCATGGGCTTAGCCGATGAAGGGGCTGTGTCTCACAATCATGTTAGTGCTGTTGATATTTGGCCCATTCTGATAAAATTTGTGTTTTTTAGTAAAGATTTGGCACTGCTGCTACTCTTGGTTTAGCAAATCAGACAGTCGAAAGCTTTTAATAATGAATTACTCTTCACATCTTTGTTGAAAAAACTAGGGTGGGTTAAGCCCTGTTACGCTGAGCTAACTCAGCAATGCAAATTAATGTACAGTTATTTTTAAAGGCTACTCAAAACAACACAAAAAGGAAATCAAGAAAGTCGGAAGAGACAAATTGCCATCTCACCACCGCTGAATCTGCTGCTTCAAGGCGGTTTATTTGTGGCATTTGCCTTTATACCTGTAGTGTGTTTGTATATTAACTTTGATAAAAGGTAAGAGTTTTGTCGGTTCTCATCCTGTCATCATCTCAATAAGGTCAGATCTTTACGAGGAACGTTTTATATTTCGAACCCATTGAGACGAGGATTTGCAAGCAAGTCACAGAATTCCTCTCACAGAGCAACCTCTTTGATTTATACCGGTCTGGCTTTAAAAGTCGCCACCCCACTGAAATGGCACAATTGACACAGTTTTTGACAGAGGCCTCAAAAGAAGTCAGAGTAGCAGCTCAATCATGTGTGTTCGCTCTGCTTAATCTACTGCCAAAATTGAACTCTCTTAGTGTGTTCCTGCTGCATTCAATTGTGCTCAAACAACCTAAAGATTATCACTCTATTAGATTCCTGATATTACAGCTGTTTATTTTAATTTGTGCTTCACTGTGAACTCTCCTGTATCTTTGCCCCCATTTCTTTGGATTAAACCATTTGCTAAGTGCATGAATTGAAATTGGGCTAAAGGAAAATATGTTGATACTAAAATTCTACCAGGGGGTTTCTGTGTATGGGAACAAAAATATGTCTTGAGTTCTCTTTACAGCTGCGTCAAATCAGCATTTAATGATTGTATGGAAATTTTTTTTTTTTTTTTAAAACTTGTGTTGTGATCCTTTACAGATATTCCACACAGTTGGATCCCGATCATTGCTGGCCACACACTGTGCTTTTAGTTGTTTTCTACATACTGCTCACTAACTGCAACACCTTAAAGCTCAGCAAAAGGTAGTAGCTCATTTTACAATTCCACAAATATTTCATTAGCGTTGACTACAAGTAAGTCTCTGACTTCATTTTCCTTTTGTTTTTCACAGTAAACTACTGTTTCTCACCTCCTGTCTTCTCCTGCCTTTGGCCATCACCATGGTAATCTTCTCTTCACTTCACCTCTACAGAGTCACCTACTTCCTGTCAGCAGCACTTGTCCCTTTGGCCCTGTGCTGTCTCCTCTGACGGTATTTTGGTAGCGTTCAGTCTCTATCTTCACAATAGCAAGCCTCTCTTTAATATCCAGCATGCCTCAGTGAGGCTTGCTGAGGTCTTGTCCAGAGAGGACTTGCAGTATCCAGCAGTCATGGAGCAGAGCCTAGGACATAGCATGGGAAATTGCCCACTCGCTGCTGGCACTAAAAGCTCCATGGCAATTACTCTCTATTTTTTTAATGCAAGGATGCAATGGCCTTGGAACATTTGGTGCAAATATATAGGATGTCGTGAAACCATGTTTGCCTTACACTGTATATCCATAGCTCTGCCTTCAGGGAGCAAGAACTATTGATATTAAAGATTCTCCAATAGGTTTTATTATTATTTATCTCGTCACTACACTCTAATCTCCTGTACTGCCTATTGCCTAGCAATCTTCGAACTGATGACTGTCAATATGCCACCATAAAACCGCTGGTAGTAATGCAAATTCAAATTGTACAAAGAAATCTAAAGTATTTACGCTTACATTCTGTGGTATACTTTTTTTTGTTTTTCAGCTAAACATAATTTTGAGTCTCACACATTTGTTCACTGACTGTAGGAAGTACTGATCTAAAGATTGGGGTTAAAAGAAGCATAATTCAAATATTGGTGACCAAGATCTCCAGAATTGTAAACATCTTCTGTAAAAGCAAAGGAGCTGTGATGTTTTTCAGAACATCGAGTGAGCTCAGCATGTGATTCACTGGTACTCCAACACTGTGGATGCACAGTCATGCCACACCTTTGAACAGAAAATTATCTGCTGCTATTATGTTTCAATATTTTCTCTTTGCTCTACTGTGAATGACCTCTATCAATAAGATTCCAATCTCCATAAATATATTTTAATTTGAGTAACACCAGGTAGTTCTGTGGTGCTTTTTGATACCCTCACAGTTGACAGTTGTAACATTGCTGTGACCCCTTCAGCTGTTTAGTCAATGCACATGAATTTGTGGTCAGGTTAGAAAGACCACAAAGTCACCATCTAAAACCTACAAACACGTCAAGCAACTGGAAAAACGAAACAATGTTGTGTAGGATTTAAACATTATAAATGATGTTACCTCTGCCCCTGGGTGCTCTTGGAATATTTTGGGCACAGGAACGAAGAAAACAAAGGTCAATTTGCTTTAAAAGATGTCAAAAGCAAATCATTTAAGGTTCAGAAGCTTCACTGATGTTGCATTTAGACGTTCCCGATGTGCTACAGCACCACACTGTGCCTTACTCAAAATTTTCTATTAATACTGGTGCAACAAACATGTAGTTTAATGCTAATAAGGATGCGATGAGTGAATGGTCACTTTAGATTTAGAAACTACCACGTCAAATGCCTGCTGCTCATAATGTGCCATTTTTACTGAGGCACAGAGGTAATAAAATGATAAATGCAGTTGCACCCAAAAGGGACAGAGATTAATTTAATTGGCTAGATGGAAACCTTTAGGGTTTCTCTCTTTCTTTTTTTTCTCTCTTTCTTTTCATCACAAAACTGCTAACAGTTTGACTTTGTAACATGTTCTTTGTGGATGTATTTTGGTAGAATGTTGCAAATGTGGCGCGTTGCTGGCTTATCGTTTTCGCTGCCATCGGCTTTTTGTTCTTGCAACAGTTAAACAAACAGTATGCTTTGAGCTTCAAACATGGCTTTTCAGAAGTTCAAGTGTCATTTAATTTTTGCTACAGCAGTACTGTGGCTAGTGATTATGTAATTGTGTATCAAGGTTGTATCTTTGCTGTATTTGAATTCCCTTTTTAATTGAAATTTCCAATCTTTTAATCTAATTTTGATGAATCTTTTGATCTGTGCGTACAAGTGCAGCACAGAAAATGTTGCAGTTATTACATGCTGTGACTGCTGAATGTATTTTAAGGGGGAAAAAAGACCAAAATCAGGAGTGCGTTATCCGTCTTGCTAGTTTCTGACTTCCTTCTCATGTCTGGTACTTTGCCAAATCCTGCTGCTTTATACAGAAGTTGAAAATATTATACTGCACACATTTTACTTAAAAGGGATTTAATCGCGCTTTTCCACTAGTGCCTACTCGGCACAGAATGGCTCTACATGGTATTTTTGTATTTCCACTAAGGCTGGCACCAATAGACAGTTGCAGTTTTAGCACTTTCTCAGTCAGGGTTCCATCTGGGCTGAGTAGGGCTGATAGCAGACTGCGAGGCGCTGGGCAGGGAGTCAAAAAAAAAAAAAACGTGGCAAAAACAAACATCTGATTTAATCAATGCTGTGATCATAAACTTTGTAAATGCCTAATCCACAAACTAACAGAGAAGCTTATATGGGAAATAGTTGCTACAATGTCATTCAATTTTGCTTTTGTCGCACATAAATGACGTCCCTTGCCGGTTGACCCGTCTTTCTTTTCAGCCATAATTTGGTACAAATGGAAAAGTTAGATATCATGGATTGATTAGGTAAGTTTTCCAGTGCATGTCCCAGAATTTGTGCATGTCCCAGAATTTGTGAAGGAAGTATTCTGCCATTTTCATGAGTTACACAGGAAGTGCTCAATTCAGGTCCTTTTTTAATATATTACAGAACATAACAACTCATCTTCCACACAAAGACCAATTGAGCATACATATAGGCTTCCTGTTCTACACTAAACCCCACCAGAGATGTGACCGTGAGGTTACCAAACTAAACACTCTCCTTTCCATGACAATGCCTAGACATGCTGTCCATGGAAATCACTGACTGGATTGATGACATTGGTCAACCTGGCAGAGACCAATATGCACTGTAAATAAGTTTGACATAGAGCCAAGAATGTTGTGACAGCTCTTAGTTTGGTTTCAGACGGATGATATGGCTTGCAAAAGCCATACTGTCAAGGGGGACACGGCAATATTTTTCCAGGTCTACAAAACGTATGTAGACATTATGGTCAGACTCCCATGATGCCCTAAGCAACTCTCCAAGGGTCAATATTTTGTCTACTGTTCCACCTCCTGGGCAAAACAGCAACACGTTTCCTTTTGAATCTGAGGTTTAACAAGTCAGAGCATTCACTCCAGTACCCTGGATTGTACTCAACCAACGTGGCCGAGTATATTCCCTCTAGTTGGACTACACTGTCTGGTCCCCTGTCTCGAATATGGGAGAACTACCGCCTTGGTTTGCCACCACACTGTTATTGTCCCAGGCCACTATAGTACATTGAACAGGCTCAGTAAAGACAGCTCCATGTCCAGAACCTCTAATATCTCAGGGTGAATCTCATACATCCAACCACCTTTCATCGTTGCCAATATGGGCATTGATATCCCTGGATGAGAAATTAAATCTGCAGCTTGTATCCCATTAAGGACATGACCCAAAGACTCCAAAAAGGCCAGATAGAGCTAATCAAAAATGCTATCTACATGGCAGCTTCCTGTAACTAGTACAGTGTTTACCGTACTTGTAACAATAGTGGGACATACCTGTGCATGTAAATGCTGCCATTGTTAGTTTTAGTCTTATTAAAGGATAGTTTGACAATATGAACTATTGGGAGATACTTTGCTACAACTGCCTCCTTTGTCATTACTGTCGTGTAAAAGAATGGGTTTGTGCATTGCAGTTTATGTTGTATAATTGAGTAGTATACAGGCATTGAATCATGTTGCCTTTTTTTACCAGTTATGCTCAGAATCACAATTATCTCACCGATTGAATATAGTTGGGGAATGTTTGTTGGCAGCTGTGCCTTTCTGCTTTTTCATCAGCAGCCTATTTATTTCAGACTTGCCTATCAGTTAAAGAACACTTCATTGCGCAACAGTAGCAAGCTGGCAAAATGTCTAATGCCTACAAAGCCTAGAACTACATATAGCTGGCTCTCTGTGACTGTATTCATTCACAAAATCTCTCTATGCTGTTTTTTGGTTTATAAATACTGATTTCATTATAACTAAATATTGACAATAACTATTATCATGGACCAGTCACGATTGCCCTGCGGATTTCTAATGAAATATGAGCATGGGGTGCAGACAATGCTGTTTTTCTCAATGTGACTGTATTTGCACTGAATGTCTTCACATGTTGAAATTGATTTGTTTACGCTGTAATGGATCAGCTTTTTTGTGCACTTGTGTATTTGATGCAGTTTTAGTCTTTTAAAATACACATTGTCTGTGTGATAGACTATCTTACAGTCTGGATTATTCTAAACTGGTGAGATCAGCTACTTCATAGAAGGAACCAGTAGGGATGAGAATGGGTTTAAATAAATATCCTTGTGACTTGTGTTGGTGTTCACTGTGAAAAATCCAAAAAAGTCTACAGTGGTGAAAAAACTGTTTTAATCTTCAAATTTGCTATTTTAGAACTTTTTGTTTTTCGAATGAAAGGTTTTGTGGTGCAGAATTATATAATTGTAATGTCGGTCCGCAACAATGGCGAGCAAAGAAGCAGTTCAGTTTAATACATTTTCTAAAATTTGTTAAAAATGGTAAAATTGTGGTTTCCTTTGTGTTTTTATTTTATTCTTCTTACATTTAAATATATATTACGGGTGTTTACACAATAGCATTAGATTAATTATTCAAAATCATCCCAATTGAGATGCCTCTGTGTATAAAACATTAACGGCAGTGAGCCATGAATGGATGAAAGTGGCAGTTGTTTTAACTTTTATTAACAAATACAATTGTCTTACCCCTTCAGCTTATTTCATATTCTATGTCTTTTTTTTACCAAACGATGTCCAGAGTATCTGTCAAAAGTGTATATTTCACTCTAATCAATATTTGACATGAAGAGTAAAATGTGTGATTTTGAGAGTAATTTGAATGTGTTATTAAACTGACATTTTCAGTAAAATGCCCTCCATTTTATTATCTTGACTTTCTGTGTATGTGTCCACTTCACAAGTGTGTCAAATCAAATTTTAGGTCACCATGCACAAGCCATAGCATCTTATTTAGGTTTTACAATAAGGGGCAAATTTGAAAACAAAATAGCTACAGATGAGTACTGATCAAAGTGTTAGCATTATGAATAAATGTGATTTGGTTACAGCCTGCCATATTCTATATTTCAAAATTACATTATGCTTCAATAGATGCTTCCAATCCAACTTTTTTCAAACAGCTGGCTATGCACAAGTAACCCTGTATGGTTCAATGGTGCCATGTGGTTTTGGTTTAACAAAAAGTTTCAGTTTTCATTTTTCTGTAAATATACAATGTGTATATATATATATATATATATATATATATTATTATTCTTGTTATTCCTCAGGTTAATTCTTTTTTAATGTGGGTGTGTTGACGTATTGATTCCCGCCCACTAAATCCCCCCTCCTCCCCACTCCCAACCCGTTACCCTTTCATCAATACGCACCAAATAGCCTAATGCATGTTATGGACACTCGCAACATTCCAGGGACAGTTAGTCATGGGAAAACCTTTTCCCCATGTTTTGATACTATGGATGCTCATATGCAGGCGAGCTAACGTTACGCCATTCTTTGGTAGGCGACTCCCACCCCCTCCCCTCTCCTCCTCCCATACACACACAAAACAAAAAAAATCCACCGCCCACCCCCTCCACCGTCTTAGCTTTGCCTTCGATTTGGACTGAGCATATCCACCTCTACGACTTATATATAGTGCATCTGCAAAGACAGACGGGAGGACGTCGGCGCCGTCTGCTATGTATCACGATGCGGAGACGGAGAACAACGGCCTGATGTTTTGTACACCGGCTACACTTGGAGCCCAACGCAGCAGCAGGAACAGCGGTATCCGGTGCGGGTAGCTGACAGGGAGGTGGCGGACTCTGTGTGCAAACCTCTGGAGGCGAGGCACCCCCGTAGCGCCGGAGCTTTTTCCGAGGGGCTGTCTCCCAGCTACGTGACCAGAAAACCCAAGCGCTGCCCTCAGGAGGGGGCCCTACCGCGGCACCCCGCCCGTCTTGCCTCACTCACACTGCAGGGATGGCGACCTAACCCCCTTAAATGCCCACGTACACCAACAGGACCTCGCCGTCCACCTTGCCACCGTCCCCCCACCACTACCCAGCACCTCTGCGTCAAAGGTATGTTCTGCTGCACGGCGATTAGTCTGGAATGGAGGCATCGTAGGTGTGCATACTCCCTCCGCCGTTACAAGTAATGATGATGACAACGACAGCAGCCGATTGTGTAATTTTGCAAGTGCACCACCGCTGCCCACAACCCATCCCACTGTTGTTGTTGTTGTTTTGAGAGGACAGTTGATGGATTTTGGTTTAATGCAGACGCCCTGCGAGAGCGATGCTTCAAAAGAAAAATGACGTAGGGAATTCCCACAGTAATCCGATACTGCGAAATGACACCTGCACATTCCGCCAGTGCAGTCCATGATGGCCTGCTCTGCCACGTGCGCACAGCGGCTGCTCACGGCCTCAGCAGCGGACAGATTGACCAGGAATTATTCCACAGGAGAAAAACTGTTACATAACACGATTTTGCTGACGCTATTTTGCCATAGAGTTGTCTTCACGCCTCTTCTGTTCTGAGATGCTAAAAGTCGCCTGTGTTTACAGATGGGGGTTTGTCTCTAAACCCAGCGCCTGCAAATCCACAACCGAGATTTGGCTCTGTTGCGTTTCATTTGATCTATTTTTAACATTTATTTGTCAAGGCAGAGACTGCAAATCCGCAAACATACATTTGAAAAATCTAATACGTCGTGAGCAAGCAGAAATAATGACATTCTATCCTCTGAATAAGGCATTTTGAATATTTTTGTACTGACAACTATGATTTAGAACACACACCATAATAAAGTACATCGTGCAGATAAACTGAAAATGTAGCTTGAAACTTTTCGTGCCAGATCTATTCTGTTATTCTGTTGCTCCTGCAAAATCTATACATATAGCAGGTTTTGGAAATAGCGATGGCTCCAGTTTTTTGTTGTGTTTTTTCAATGTATTTTAATGCAGGTGAGCAATGTCTCCACAGACAAGTTCTCTAGTTTTTCAGTTATGCTAAATTAAATGGGGGAAAGACTCAATAAAATCTGAAGAGCTGAAAACTTATTGGTGTTAGATTAAGTCAAGTACCAAATTGCTAAGAGACGTTTAAAGAAACAAAATTATTTTTATGCTTTCCCAAAACAAATTAAATGGCAAATGGCAAATTTCCATTTCCATAAGTTTCCTTCATTCACAATTTCTCCTTCTGGCATGCAGTTGGTCTGTCCAGGGTGTACCGGCTGTACTACATTATGTCTTGGCTTTTACTTGAGCTGTGGTTCCCCAGACATAGATCTCAGATGTCCTTTCTGGAATCTATGAGAGCTGTTCTCCCACTTTGGAGTCACAGCCCTTGGTGCTTCCTTTACCATTGCTTGCTGTTTTCTCTTAACCCCCCAAAATTTATTTTTTTCATTACTTATATTTCAAGCTTCACCTGCTCCTTCTTAACCTTAAAGTTGCCACATCTATTGTCTTATTCCACAGTTTGTGACCACTGCAGCACCATCAATATATAAATGTATGTTGTTAATCGAAATCCCTTCTCATTCAGGTGGTGTGGTCTCTCTGGCTTTACAGAGCTTGTAAGGGTATAAATAGAATTAGCTGGTGAGTCAGGCTCTAAAAATGGGAAATGCCCTGTAAGAACGTCACGTACCACTTCTTTTATTTCTGTATACCTCAACATTAATTCACGATTAACAAGTGAATATTTGTTTTCTGGATTGTTTTTCTCTTTAGAAGCTTAGTGATTCTTCAACTGATCTTTCTGTTTTTCAGTCATAGTAGAGCTAAAAAGACAAGACAAGCCTTTATAATGAAGTTTTGTGTTTACAGTTAGTGGTATTTCTTGAAACAGAAATCATCTACCTGTGTCTTCATACGTTTGCCTCTTGTTTTGACGACTTTGGAACTTTGTAGGGGGATTAAAACTCTGCAAAGTCAAATTTATTAATTAAAATTCTGGGTTTCGGAGACCTCGGGAAGATGGCGGAGGGAATAGGAGTGTAGTCAGTTAGCTCTCCAAAGTCGGGTTAAAATGCCCACAACAATATCGGTACTCGATAGATAAATCTAAAGCATGAGTGGGATAAGCAAGAGGAGAAGTCGGAAAAACTATGAAAAGCAAGACAGAACTGAAAAGCTGCCTGTAACAGAAGAAATCTCCGAACACGAAGCTAGCGAACACGAAAAAGCAGAGAGCATGGAAGAACAAACTAACACGGAGACATTGCAAAATGGGCTCGCAGATATTAGAGGTGATATTAAAGCCCTTAAACAAGAGCTGTGCCGGGAGCTGGTCGTATTCAAAGACGAGCTGAAGAAAGAATTGAAGGAAGAAATAACTGGTCTTCGGCAAGAAATAGACCGTAGGCTGTCCGAGAGCGACCGGGCGCTACAGGCACAGCAAGTGAGCATCAGCGAGGCACAGACACGCATAGATGAGGTGGAGGAGTGGAAGGTGGATGCTAATGAGGTGCTAACGAAGATGGGGGAACAAGTACAGCGAATGCAGGAAAAACTAACCGATCTGGAAGGGAGATCAAGGAGAAACAATATCAGAATCTTCGGTTTACCAGAAGAAGTAGAAGGGAGATCCACAACTACTTTTCTGGAACAACTTTTTAAGAAGGAACTCGAACTTCCGGAGGGGACCGAACTCCAGATTCAACGAGCCCACCGAGCCCTCACCTCAAAACCGAACCCGAATGCAACACCGAGGTCAGTCGTGGTTAACTTTCTGCAGTTTGAGACCAAAGAAATGATCTTGAAAAAAGCATGGCAGAAAAAGATCCTGGTAACGGGTAAACAAATCTACTTCGACCACGATTATCCGACCGAAATTGTCCAGAAAAGAAAGGCATATACGGCCATTAAGAAAATATTGAAGGAGAAAGGAATACGTTTTCAGACACCGCTTGCTAAAATTCGGATTCATTGGGAGAACGGAACGAAGACATATGACAGTGCCAGGGCAGCAGCGCAGGATATGAAGGAAAGGGGCTATACGGTGGCTGAGCCCGGAGGAGACACCACGGCAGCGGGGGAGAGACAGCGAGGAGCTGCGGGATGGCAGCGAGTGAAAGGGAAAGATCGGGAGCGAGACGCGGCACACCGAGTGAGAGAAAAATTACAAAGCTTCCAGTGGAAATCTTAGAATGTTTTGCTTTCAGAAGTTGACTCTGCGAGAAAAGAGGATTCAACTACAACCGACTGGGAGAGGGTAAGGGATTTAAGTTGGACATGTCTAGATGGAGTGGTACCCCACAGGATGGGAGTAGTACTGGATCTAGGGAGGGGCCCTCAGAAGGGGTGAGGATATCCTCTCCACCCACCAACTGGGACTTGGGTAAGAAAGATACCCCATGTTTGAAAGTCCGCCGGTTTTTTGGTTTATGTTTAGGTTGTAAAAGTTCATGCTTGTTCTGTTTTGTGTTGCTTGGGAGTATATTTAAAGGGAATAGTAAATCACAGTTATGACTGATATCAAGATAATGTCGCTGAATGTGAATGGTTTGAATGCATTGAGTAAAAAAGAAAGGGTGATGACAAAACTGCAAAAGGAAAAAGTACAAATTATATTCTTACAAGAAACTCATTTATCCAAAACAGAGCATGAAAAATTAAAAAAGTATGGCTACAAAAGTTTATACCACAGTTCATATCAAGAAGGACGTAGAAGAGGTGCTGCAATACTAATTTCGAACGCAATACAATTTGAATACAAAAAAGAATTAAATGATAAAGAAGGAAGATACATAATATTAAAAGGAAGAATAGAAAATGAATTAATAACCTTGGTAAATGTATACGCACCCCCGGAGAGTAACAAAAACTTTTTCAAAAACTTGTTCGATTTAA